AGGAATTTCCTAACAATATGGCATGTATTCAATATAGTGGCCTTCTGTAGTGTGATGTATGTATTTCTATTCAATTGTAATGTTCCCAGGCTTTTGTGTAGCGTGTGTGGTATCACACCTGTACAGGAGAGAACAACAGGTACAATAAGCACCCTATCCATCCTCCACAAATGCCTGATTTCCTGGGTGAGTTCTGTGTACTTGCTAATTTTTTCAGTGCATTATTATTATTATTATTTAATATTTTTCAAAATAATGGAAGCTAGTCTTTTGGACATTATTAATAGTTTGTAAGCTACTATCTTTAATTTAAATAAATACTGGTAAATGAAATAAATTTTTCCAGGTTATCCTAAAACCAACAACAGAAGTCAAAGATACATAACAAGATCATAAAAGTCTTATCACATTATCATGTTTTATCTATGAGAGTATAAGAATTATATGAATAAACAGAGGTATGTATGCAATAATCTTGTACCAGTACATAATCTTGTAAATGTTAAGTATGTTTGTAATATTTGTAAAAGAAAATAGAAGAGCAATGTGTATAGTATCAATATTAAGTGTGTATATATATACATAATATCGACATATATTGTTGTAATAATATATATAATATTTATTAATTACAATGTAATATATAATATTTTCAGTAGTTTTTATATTAAATTGTTTCGANTCGGTCACTTTTTACATCACTAGCTACTTACACTGTTATGTGCATGTAGTAAGAATGAGTTGGTCTTTGTTACTAAACCAGTTTTGACTCTTATGAAAAAGTAAAACTGAAAGAGCTTTAAAAAGAACAAACAGAAAATCTGTTGTTATTTCAAAATGCTTTTTGACACTATTTAATAGATAAAATTTCATTTAAACTTGAATTAGAACAAATTATTCACTTCTTGTGCAGGAAATTTGAAAATTAATAAACTACATTTAAAACGTTTTTATGTCTCAATTAAATAGCTAAATAGAAGTTTTATCATCATTAAGTTTTTATAAATATTATTTTTCATATTTTTTCACAGATTTATTATAAAATAAAAATTTTAATGTCAAAATATATTTTAAAGCATAAAATTACAGTTATGTTTTCAAAAAAAGTAATAATAATAATAATAATAATAATAATGAAAAAGTCAATCAAAAACTCTAAAATAGTTTATCTTTTTGCAAAAAGTTGTTGCATTTTTTAAATAAATTTTCAGAAAAAAATTGTATGACTTGCATATCATTATCATAAAGAAATTTTGCATTTCTGGATGTCAAGAACTCCATTAATTACCATACCAAGATAAAAAATATCATTTGTGATGTTGCATTGGTGATGACTGCAATTTTATTTCTATTAATCAATGTACTATATCAAGTTTATACCCTATGATGATATGTACTTCTTTTAATTTAAAAATTTTTTAATTAATTTATTATACATTTAATCAAATTAGATATATAATTATTTGTAACTACAGTGGAAACTTGATTATCTAAACTTGATGAGAGCAGGGATCTTTCAGATAATCCAGAAACTCTATGATTTTTGTATTTTGGATACATCAAGCACTGTGCATTTAAGGTTTCATAAACTATAAATATTGTAACAATTATTGTATTTAAAGGTAAATTAATTTACTCAAAATCTAATATAATGTTATGTATGCATGGTATAGTGTCAAGGCACAATCAACAGATGACATAGTGATTTCCAATTATGTGGAGAAGTCAGTCTGTACAATGCCACAATTGCTTTTATTTATTTATTCTGCAAAGTGTTTTAGATAAAATTTCTACTGTATTTCTAAGCATTTATCATCATTGCTCTTCACTTCAAAGTTTTCTTTAAAAATCTCACCTTGTTTTTATATTTTTCTTCTTATAAAAATGAATAAGAATATTTCAAATAATTTGCACAATTTTAAAGTTTCTTTTTAAAAAAGATTATTTTTTAACATTATATAAGTTTGTTTATTATTTGCTAGTAGACCTTTACATGCATTTATTATTCCTGATGAAGGCCTTAAGCATTAGAATAAATAAATAGTATGCTGATTAAGGTTCTGTGTAATATCTTGTATTCAGAAATATATAATTTTAGAACTAGATCCTATTGTGAAGAAACTGTAATTAACCCAATTGGAAAGGAGTGTTTTTAATTTTCAACAACGTAACTACGTAGTTGCCAATGAGAACTACTGCAGTGGTAATAAAATGGCAACAATTTTTTTCAATAATAAAAAAACAATATGTATTTGCACACCGTTTTTTATTTTTACTTGTAAGTAACATGCTTGTGTATACAAATATAAAACCTAAAACAAGCAAAAAATTATTACTTCTGCATGTATCTTAATAAACATAATCAAGTTATTTACAGAAAGAATATATTTATTTAATCTATTCTTCAAATAATTTATGTATGACTAAGAATTTTATAATAAGACAAATTTCAGCAGAAATGCTATTGATTTTTTAAATTGTATTACAGTCTACTGTCAAAAGTTTTCTAGAGCACATGTTTCTAAAGTGCATAAAGTTCATTAAATTTTACATTACAACTATCTACACTCTCTTAATGTAAATATATATACAATAATAGTTTGTCTTTACTATGAAATAATTATCACCTCTGTATTTTTGTTCAATCAAGAAATTGCTTATTCTCAATTAAAGAATAAGATATACAATAATAAAACTTTTTCAATCATAGAAAATAAATCTACTTACTCATTTCTTTCAAAAATGAACTTAATTCCAAAAGAAATGAACTCGATTCATCAGGATCTAATAAAAAATATAAATAATGGGATTATAACTTTTTAAATTGTAAAAATTATGTATATGTAATATACAATCTGTACTATTTACACTTAATTATAATAAATTAATAAGTAATCTTTAATATAATAAAGGCCATAAAAATTAGCTAAATTATAATTTGTAATAAAGATGTAGAATATTTCCAATTGAACTAATGAAGTTTGGGGGAAATTTGTGGTATAAAAAATATTATGACAATAGCTGCAAAAAACTGAAAGCATCATGTCTACACCTATAGACATTCATTGGAGAAATTATCTTGTGTTTTAAAAATGAAATTGGAATGTTGTTTATTTTGTTTATAATCAATTCGGTCACTTTTTACATCACTAGCTACTTACACTGTTATGTGCATGTAGTAAGAATGAGTTGGTCTTTGTTACTAAACCAGTTTTGACTCTTATGAAAAAGTAAAACTGAAAGAGCTTTAAAAAGAACAAACAGAAAATCTGTTGTTATTTCAAAATGCTTTTTGACACTATTTAATAGATAAAATTTCATTTAAACTTGAATTAGAACAAATTATTCACTTCTTGTGCAGGAAATTTGAAAATTAATAAACTACATTTAAAACGTTTTTATGTCTCAATTAAATAGCTAAATAGAAGTTTTATCATCATTAAGTTTTTATAAATATTATTTTTCATATTTTTTCACAGATTTATTATAAAATAAAAATTTTAATGTCAAAATATATTTTAAAGCATAAAATTACAGTTATGTTTTCAAAAAAAGTAATAATAATAATAATAATAATAATAATGAAAAAGTCAATCAAAAACTCTAAAATAGTTTATCTTTTTGCAAAAAGTTGTTGCATTTTTTAAATAAATTTTCAGAAAAAAATTGTATGACTTGCATATCATTATCATAAAGAAATTTTGCATTTCTGGATGTCAAGAACTCCATTAATTACCATACCAAGATAAAAAATATCATTTGTGATGTTGCATTGGTGATGACTGCAATTTTATTTCTATTAATCAATGTATTGAAGTTTATAATTGTATATGATACAATTATAAACTTGATGTAATACATTGTTAGCCTATGATGATGGCTTATGCTTATATTAAAGTATTATTTTAATTTAAAAAATTTTTATTTTAATTTATCAGAGAGTTGTGCAGCAAATTACAGTAAGCCTATTTAATAATTTGTATGAATCAATTTGAATTTTTTAAACTAATAGTAATTATTAATTGTTTCATAAATTGTTTTACTTTGTGTACTAGTGTGCAAGAATTTTTGGGGAAATTTTGAGTTCTAAAAACATTCTAGATATCTGATTTGTAAAACAGAAAAATCTAACAACATTCTTATTCAGTTGATCTGTAGAGAAAATATAAAAATTGAGATTTTAAAGTGACGTATTTTTACTTTTATTTTGGCATCTAGCTGCTGATATTTAACATTTGTATTTTAGCTGAAAAGAACTGAAAATATCAATTAAAATACATCTTTGCAAGAATTAAAATATCCTTATGCTTGTAAACTTTAGAATATTATTGTGTGTTGGGTTTGGTGGGTTATACTCGGTACACACCTGTGGCTGTGTACTATGCCGGACCAGAGTCAAGGCATAGCAACCAAAACAAAACTAAAATTAAATGTGTGTGTCAGTGTCTGTATTAAGGAATTTCCTAACAATATGACATGTATTCAATATAGTGGCCTTCTGTAGTGTGATGTATGTATTTCTACTCAATTGTAATGTTCCCAGGCTTTTGTGTAGCGTGTGTGGTATCACACCTGTACAGGAGAGAACAACAGGTACAATAAGCACCCTATCCATCCTCCACAGATGCCTGATTTCCTGGGCGAGTTCTGTGTACTTGCTAATTTTTTCAGTGCATGTGTTTTGTACATTGTGAGTGTTTGGAATGGCTATGTCTATAATGTATGTGATTTTATTGTGTTTGTCAATGAGTGTGATGTCTGGTCTGTTGTGGTAAATTGTTTTATCTGTGATTATGGCTCTGTCGTAATACATTTTGTGCGTGTTATTTTCCAATACTGTCTGTGGAATATACTTGTAGTATGGTTCGTGGATGTCTGCCAATTTGTGTTTCTTTGCAAGCTCTTGGTGTATTATATTTGCTACTTGATTGTGTCTATGTAAGTAATCTGTCTGTGCCAAGAGCTTGCAACCAGAAGTGATGTGTTGTATAGTTTCTGGCATGATGTGACATTTTCTGCATGTGTCATTTGTGAGTGTTGTATCTTTGAGTATGTGTTTTCTGTAGTTTTTAGTATTTATGACCTGATCCTGTATGGCAATCATGAATCCTTCCGTCTCCCCAAAGAGGCATCCCCGATCTAACCAGCTGTTTGACGCAGTTTTGTCAACAAAATCCTGGGCCAGGTCGTAAGGATGCCTGCCATGGAGAGCCTTTTGAGCCCATGATTGCTTAATGTTGTCTATGCTTTTTATATGTTGTGTCATGTCTGTATGTTGTGAGTGTAAGTTTAATGGTGTGTTATTTGAGTCTGCTAGAGTTACTGCTTTATGTAACTGTGATGTTTCTTGTTTCTTGTAGAAAAACTCTCGCAGTGACTGTATTTGTTTGTAGTGAAGGTTAACTATGTCAATCAGGCCACGTCCGCCTTCTTTACGTGGAAGGGTTAATCTTTCTGTGGCGGATTTAGGATGATGTTGTTTATGCTTAGTAAGTGTTGTTCTTGTTTTCCTTTGGAGTTGCTCGAGATCTGTGTGAGTCCAATGTATAACTCCAAAAGAGTATGTGAGTACTGGGATGACATATGTGTTTATTGCTTTAACTGTGTGTTTTGCATTTAACTGTGTTCTAAGTATAGCGTTTAACCTACTTTGGTATTCTTTAATTAATCGTTGCTTTATTTGTGTATGTTCTGTTAGTTTGGCCTGTTGGAATCCTAAGTACTTGTAGAACTCGCCCTCTTCCATGGATTCAATAACGTCTCCATTTCCAAGTGCAAAATCTTCTTTCTTCAGGATTCCTTTTTCTATGTGAAGTTTTTTGCATTTGTCTAGGCCAAACTCCATTTGTATGTCCTTAGTGTATGAATGTGTGATTTGTAGGAGTTGATGAAGTTGTTTTTGTGTGGATGCATAAAGTTTTATGTCGTCCATGTACATGAGATGTGAGAGTGTAAACTGTGTTGTTTTTTCGTGTCTGATATTGTAGCCGTATTGCGTGTTGTTTAACATGTTGGATAATGGATTCAGGGCTAGGCAGAACCAGAGAGGACTCAAGGAATCTCCTTGAAAAATTCCTCGCCTAATGAATATTTCGTTTGTTTGTATGGAAGTGTTACTAACCCTGAGATGTAGTGTTGTTCTCCAGTGCTGCATAGTGTTTTCGAAGAATGCAATGAGTGATGGATGTATTTTGTACATGTGTAGAATATGTAGCAGCCAACTGTGTGGAACACTGTCGAATGCTTTTCTGTAGTCTATATATGCCATGTGTATGTTTCTGTGTTGTTTGTGTGCTTGCCGTAGAATGACTGAATCTATGAGTAACTGTTCTTTGCATCCCCTGTGATTTCTACGGCAACCTTTTTGTTGTTCTGTAAGAATGTCGTGTTCTTCTACGTGTTTGTATATTTTGTTTGTGATACAGGATGTCAATAATTTGTAGAGTGTTGGAAGACATGTAATTGGTCTGTATTGTGTGGGGTCTGTGGTTTTGTTGTTTTTGTTTCATGTAGGTGATGCCCTGAGTAAGAAATTTTGGCATGTCTTGTGGATTGATGATGATGTTATTATTATTATTATGTTGAGTTTAGTGGGTAATACTCGGTTTAAACCGGTGGCTGCGTACTATGCCGGACCAGAGTCAAGGCATAGCAACCAAAACTAATTAAATAAGTGTGTGTGTGTCAGTGTCTGTATTAAGGAATTTCCTAACAATATGGCATGTATTCAATATAGTGGCCTTCTGTAGTGTGATGTATGTATTTCTATTCAATTGTAATGTTCCCAGGCTTTTGTGTAGCGTGTGTGGTATCACACCTGTACAGGAGAGAACAACAGGTACAATAAGCACCCTATCCATCCTCCACAAATGCCTGATTTCCTGGGTGAGTTCTGTGTACTTGCTAATTTTTTCAGTGCATTATTATTATTATTATTTAATATTTTTCAAAATAATGGAAGCTAGTCTTTTGGACATTATTAATAGTTTGTAAGCTACTATCTTTAATTTAAATAAATACTGGTAAATGAAATAAATTTTTCCAGGTTATCCTAAAACCAACAACAGAAGTCAAAGATACATAACAAGATCATAAAAGTCTTATCACATTATCATGTTTTATCTATGAGAGTATAAGAATTATATGAATAAACAGAGGTATGTATGCAATAATCTTGTACCAGTACATAATCTTGTAAATGTTAAGTATGTTTGTAATATTTGTAAAAGAAAATAGAAGAGCAATGTGTATAGTATCAATATTAAGTGTGTATATATATACATAATATCGACATATATTGTTGTAATAATATATATAATATTTATTAATTACAATGTAATATATAATATTTTCAGTAGTTTTTATATTAAATTGTTTCGAAAACATATTCACTTACTCCTGGCAGATTTATTATAAATTATACTTAAATTTATTATAATTTGTTCAACTATATTCAGTCTTCAGCTTACATAGTTAATCTGTTCTAAAGGTTTCACACACATTGAAAACTGCATAAGTTTTATGTTGCTTAAATATGATGTATTTTTAATATATATATATGTTTGTTTCAAAGGATAATTAAAGCCAAACAGATTTTGCTTATAAAAAAGATATTCAGAATATAAGTTTTTATTTCCTCAAAGCTTTCACTCTATACTATGTATTTCAAATTGGTGTTTAACAAATGGTTTTATTTAATTGTAAGTCAAAGTATCGTAAGTGTATATTTACAAACCTATAAATCTGCATAAATCAAACATTATAATTTTCTTATGTTTTTTGGAGACACATTCTACTGTCAATATACAATGACAATGAAACTGGAAAAATTCTGAGTAAGTTTAAAAAATTAATAATCGTTTTTAACAATAAATAATAATTTAAAAAAGTAAATAATGATTTATACAATTGTCTATTTCCTTTCTTCTTACAATAGAAAAAAAAACCTAATCTTAATTTGAAAGAAGAGCTAATCAATATAGCAAAATGAATACCAAAAAATATTAACTATAAAACATTAAATTTAAATATAGCTAAAAAAAGAAAAAAGAGAGAAAGAGATCCTGTTTCCATATTATGAAGGCATGTAGAATGTTGTAGTGAAACAGCTAACAATGGAACATTCTACATGCCTTCATAATGCGGAAACAAGTAAACAATACAACAGGATCTAAATGATACAAAATTTTCTACATTTTCCACAGAATTTCACAATTATTTCACAATTAAAATTAATTTGTGCAAAATAAATGTAATTTTATAAAAAGACTTCATTATTTCAAAACTCAAATTTATGTATTTCAATAAACAAAAAAATCTCACAAGTCAGATAGAAATACCATATATGCATGACCTGCCAGAATCCTCAGGAAATAATTTAAATTTTAAAATTAAATGCTAGTTAATATAAATTAAGGTTTGTGCAGATGAGATACAGCTTAAACAGATATTTAATTTTTTAACAATTGGTAATTTGTAGTAGTAATAAAATTAGAAGAACAGATTTTTCAGACTTACTCTGAATGAGTTATTGAAAACAAAATAATTTAAATGTGTTTTCCTGAAAAAAAAAAAAAGATGGTTTGTTCATCTACTGATCAAAATTTTCCTCTAGCGAGAGAAAGAAATTCTTTATAAGAGAAATGAATCCTAATCTGGAGTATAGAATGGATGGACTGAAATGAAGTTACTTTAGAGATTTGCAAATTTCATCTTTTACAATTCATTAATAATCTCCAAATACATGCAATATAAATATGATTTTAAATCAAAATTACATTTGAAAATTAAAGTATTTTAACTATATTTAGGATATAATTGCACAACAGATGGCATTACACAACTTTGTAAATTACGAATACAAGGAAAGTTGTGTATAAGCTCTTGCTAACATTTTTTGTATAAATAATATATATCTGAAGTGATAAACAGTATTGAAGGTTAATTGTAAATAAAGAAATAATTCATAATGACTAGTTTTAGAAGTATACTAAATATAATTATCATCATCAAAATTATTGACTATGATATATTTTCGGTTTACTTCAGAATTAGTTAATAACTTTCCAAATACAGTGGTGCCTCATATAACATACACCTTGAATAACGGATGCTGAGAACAATGGACTTTCTGTTTGGCTGTTACGTGACTCGAGCAACAGACTGGCTGCGAACAACGGACTTTCCGTTCGGCAGTTACGTGAGGCGAACAACGGTCTTTCTGTGAATAAGTGCGAATGATATTTTCACTCTTTTGCCGTTGCCAATGACAATCTGCTATTTTTATAATATATTAGTGTTATTAGAATATATTATTAGGATATCTGAAGTAACAAGTTCCCGGTGGAATTCGGCTTGCTCCCTTGTTTATTACGTATATCACCTCAGTGCAGGGTATTTACATTTATTCAAGTGTTGTGCAAATCATGGCTTCTAAAAACCAAAAAGGTGATTTCAATTGAAACAAAGCCAGAAATCATCAGAAGGAGTGAAAGTTGACAACAACTTCCTTGTCGAATGGGAGAGGTTCAGGAGTTTACCAACACTCATTATCTAAACAGAGCTGAGGCCACCAGGATCAATGATCTCTACAATGACACCCTTGCCCGTCATTTCCGACAGGTGTTGAAGAAGACAGAGAGAAACAGACCACCTTGGGCATGTTTTTCAAGAAGCCAGCAGGCAAAAAACAAAGGATGGAACAAGAGGAGCTAACCCTGCAAGCTCCGGTAGCCTCTCCTGAATCTGACTCCAATTAAAAAACAATAAAAAGAAACCTGCTGCAATGTATCTGTATCTGTATGAATGTGTGAAGAAAGTGTTCCTCCACCTCCTCCTCACAACGTCTGACTACCCAGCATAATTGGTGACTGCTCCATTTTCATTTTTTTAATGGTACAGTATGGTTATTTTATGCTGTGGAACAAATTATATGTTTAAACATGTATTTCTATGGGAAAATGCATTTTGTATAACGGACTTTTCACTTAACGGACATGCACCTGGAACGGATTAAGTATGTTATACGAGGCACCACTGTAACTGAAAACAAAAGGCAATATTACTCTTTTAAGTTTAATAACCAGATAAGTTTATAATTTAACTGATAAATTTACAATTGTCTAAAATGAATAGCTAAGAATGGAAATCAAACTTATAACTCCTAAGTATTATATTGCTACTATATGTTACTATGCACCAAGCTAAATTCCTTCCAGACTATTACTAATCACAATGTTGAACTGATGATATATTTCAAAATATTTGGACTTTAAGATATTACACATTGTATACATACTTGTTATTGCATTCACACAGCCTTCTAACTTGAGAACAACTTGTAATTCTTTTGATAACCATTCAACAATTCTTGTAAATTCAACACTCTTAGGACCTTCTTGTATTGCTTTTGTAAAACCATTAGGATCCAATGAACCTGGATAACTAAAATTATAATTTAAGATTAGGTAAACAATAGATTGTAAATAGGTAAACAATAAATTGTAATAAACTTATGTAACATCCTATATATAATTTCAAAAAATAAACACTAGAGTCAAAATTTAAAAGTTATAAGTTTCATTTCTTAAANTTAAAAATCTCACCTTGTTTTTATATTTTTCTTCTTATAAAAATGAATAAGAATATTTCAAATAATTTGCACAATTTTAAAGTTTCTTTTTAAAAAAGATTATTTTTTAACATTATATAAGTTTGTTTATTATTTGCTAGTAGACCTTTACATGCATTTATTATTCCTGATGAAGGCCTTAAGCATTAGAATAAATAAATAGTATGCTGATTAAGGTTCTGTGTAATATCTTGTATTCAGAAATATATAATTTTAGAACTAGATCCTATTGTGAAGAAACTGTAATTAACCCAATTGGAAAGGAGTGTTTTTAATTTTCAACAACGTAACTACGTAGTTGCCAATGAGAACTACTGCAGTGGTAATAAAATGGCAACAATTTTTTTCAATAATAAAAAAACAATATGTATTTGCACACCGTTTTTTATTTTTACTTGTAAGTAACATGCTTGTGTATACAAATATAAAACCTAAAACAAGCAAAAAATTATTACTTCTGCATGTATCTTAATAAACATAATCAAGTTATTTACAGAAAGAATATATTTATTTAATCTATTCTTCAAATAATTTATGTATGACTAAGAATTTTATAATAAGACAAATTTCAGCAGAAATGCTATTGATTTTTTAAATTGTATTACAGTCTACTGTCAAAAGTTTTCTAGAGCACATGTTTCTAAAGTGCATAAAGTTCATTAAATTTTACATTACAACTATCTACACTCTCTTAATGTAAATATATATACAATAATAGTTTGTCTTTACTATGAAATAATTATCACCTCTGTATTTTTGTTCAATCAAGAAATTGCTTATTCTCAATTAAAGAATAAGATATACAATAATAAAACTTTTTCAATCATAGAAAATAAATCTACTTACTCATTTCTTTCAAAAATGAACTTAATTCCAAAAGAAATGAACTCGATTCATCAGGATCTAATAAAAAATATAAATAATGGGATTATAACTTTTTAAATTGTAAAAATTATGTATATGTAATATACAATCTGTACTATTTACACTTAATTATAATAAATTAATAAGTAATCTTTAATATAATAAAGGCCATAAAAATTAGCTAAATTATAATTTGTAATAAAGATGTAGAATATTTCCAATTGAACTAATGAAGTTTGGGGGAAATTTGTGGTATAAAAAATATTATGACAATAGCTGCAAAAAACTGAAAGCATCATGTCTACACCTATAGACATTCATTGGAGAAATTATCTTGTGTTTTAAAAATGAAATTGGAATGTTGTTTATTTTGTTTATAATCAATTCGGTCACTTTTTACATCACTAGCTACTTACACTGTTATGTGCATGTAGTAAGAATGAGTTGGTCTTTGTTACTAAACCAGTTTTGACTCTTATGAAAAAGTAAAACTGAAAGAGCTTTAAAAAGAACAAACAGAAAATCTGTTGTTATTTCAAAATGCTTTTTGACACTATTTAATAGATAAAATTTCATTTAAACTTGAATTAGAACAAATTATTCACTTCTTGTGCAGGAAATTTGAAAATTAATAAACTACATTTAAAACGTTTTTATGTCTCAATTAAATAGCTAAATAGAAGTTTTATCATCATTAAGTTTTTATAAATATTATTTTTCATATTTTTTCACAGATTTATTATAAAATAAAAATTTTAATGTCAAAATATATTTTAAAGCATAAAATTTATGTTTTCAAAAAAAGTAATAATAATAATAATAATAATAATAATGAAAAAGTCAATCAAAAACTCTAAAATAGTTTATCTTTTTGCAAAAAGTTGTTGCATTTTTTAAATAAATTTTCAGAAAAAAATTGTATGACTTGCATATCATTATCATAAAGAAATTTTGCATTTCTGGATGTCAAGAACTCCATTAATTACCATACCAAGATAAAAAATATCATTTGTGATGTTGCATTGGTGATGACTGCAATTTTATTTCTATTAATCAATGTATTGAAGTTTATAATTGTATATGATACAATTATAAACTTGATGTAATACATTGTTAGCCTATGATGATGGCTTATGCTTATATTAAAGTATTATTTTAATTTAAAAAATTTTTATTTTAATTTATCAGAGAGTTGTGCAGCAAATTACAGTAAGCCTATTTAATAATTTGTATGAATCAATTTGAATTTTTTAAACTAATAGTAATTATTAATTGTTTCATAAATTGTTTTACTTTGTGTACTAGTGTGCAAGAATTTTTGGGGAAATTTTGAGTTCTAAAAACATTCTAGATATCTGATTTGTAAAACAGAAAAATCTAACAACATTCTTATTCAGTTGATCTGTAGAGAAAATATAAAAATTGAGATTTTAAAGTGACGTATTTTTACTTTTATTTTGGCATCTAGCTGCTGATATTTAACATTTGTATTTTAGCTGAAAAGAACTGAAAATATCAATTAAAATACATCTTTGCAAGAATTAAAATATCCTTATGCTTGTAAACTTTAGAATATTATTGTGTGTTGGGTTTGGTGGGTTATACTCGGTACACACCTGTGGCTGTGTACTATGCCGGACCAGAGTCAAGGCATAGCAACCAAAACAAAACTAAAATTAAATGTGTGTGTCAGTGTCTGTATTAAGGAATTTCCTAACAATATGACATGTATTCAATATAGTGGCCTTCTGTAGTGTGATGTATGTATTTCTACTCAATTGTAATGTTCCCAGGCTTTTGTGTAGCGTGTGTGGTATCACACCTGTACAGGAGAGAACAA